TATATATATATATATATATATATATATATATATATATATATGTGTATACACATACAATAATAACAACAATAATTACTATCTATTATTATTCGTTATGAAGAGTATATACAATAATTATAATTATAATTACATCAATTATAAAGTATAATTATCATTAATAACAATAAATAATATGAGGCGTTGCTATTTTATTTATTTTCTGTCTTCATCTGTTTACTTCAATTTCGTATATATAAGAGGCAATCATACTTAAATATAAATACATATATATATATATATTAAATAAAATATATAATAATACTAATAAATATAAACGCTACTTGAACTAATAAAGACACAAAGATAGAAGAAGAGTAAAGCCTAAAACCGTAAACCGTAAACCCTAAACCTTAAACCCTAAACAACTTACTTCATTTCATACGACTGTACATCATTGCCTAGAAAGAAATCAAAGAGAAAAGGGCTTATGCTTCTCTCATCAGCAGCAAATGCAGTAACTGCTGCTGCCTTTCTATCATACAAAACTCTATTCCAAATGTTCTGCACATTATACAGTCGAGGAGTTGGGTCATCCCAGGGGCCCCCTTGCTGCACAAATAAAAACAAAAGAAATACAAAAGAAATTTAAGAGAAATATAATAATTTACTACGCTTATATAAAGAAATATACACAATGTAAATTAAAAAGAATCAGGCTTTCAAGGGGCCTCCTTGCTGCACAAATAAACATTAAAGAAATTAATAAAGAAGTAAAAAAGAAATAATAATTTGCTACTCTTGCATGCAGAAATAAACATAAAATAAATTTAAAATAAAGAAATATAAAAGAAGTAGAAATGTATTACTCTAATATGCATTATTGCATAGTAGAGTAATACATTTCCTATAGAAAACGTAAAAAAATAAATAATAATATATCTACCGCTCTTCAAAATCATGAAAAGAAACAAACAATTAAATACGATGTAAAATAAATATACACAAAAAATGCAGAGACCTCTCAAGGGCCCCTATGATGCAGCAGCAGCAGCAGCAGCAGCCGGCCTCCCTGCACTAACAGCAGCAAACCTTGCAGCACCCGTAGCAGCAGCAGCAGCATCAGTCGCAGCAGCACAAACACCACCAATAGTATAGGTAGCAGCAGCAGCAGCACCCATAGCAGCAGCAGCAGCACTTATGGCAGCAGCAAGAGTAGCGCAGCAGCAGCACTTGTGGCAGCAGCAACAGCAGCACCCGTAGCAGCAGCAGCACCAGTAGCAGCAGCAGCACCACCAGGAGCAGCAGCAGCAGCAGCAGCAGCAGCGGTAGCAGCAGCAGCAACAGACCTTTGCTTGTGCGGGGTTAGCGAGTACTGCTTGTATTTGCCCTGTGAGTTTATTTGCAGAGCAAACGAAGACTTTAGTGCTCCAATCAACGCACGTTTTATCTGCTGCTGCTGCTGCTGCTGCTGCTGCTGCTACGCTGCTGCTGCTGCTGCCGCTGCTGTTGCTGCGGTTCCCCTTGAGCGCAGCAACAGGAAGTCTGCAAGAAATTAATAAACCATCTCCTGGAGCAAGGCTAGATGATATACAATCATCTTCTAAAACAAATGAACAAAAAATCTTTCCTGCTGTATTCCGCTCCCACGTCAGCTGTACGTCTCTCTGCATGCATGCATGCAAAACAAACAAAAACAACATATAATTATCTTCTTTTTATATTGTTAATACAAAACAAGATATAATTATAATCCTTTTATGTTATAAACAATTATATTCTCTTTATATTATAAACTCAAAAACTATTGCAGTTTTTTTATAAAATAATAATACTTTTTATATTATATACACAAAAATATATATAATTAAATGACAATAAACAAACAAACGAAAACAACAAAACAAACATCTACTTAAAAATGCAGCAGAATAAACCCTCAAATAAAACCCCAGCAGCAGCAGGAGAAAGAGCAGCAGCAGCAGCAGAACGAGCAGCAGCAACTGCAGCAAAGCAGCAGCAACAGCAGCAGTAACAATCCCAGCTGCGACTGCATGGAGCACCATCACCACCACCAGCTGCAGCAGCAGCAGCAACAGCAGCAGTAGCAGCAGCAGCAACAGCTTCGGAAGCAGCAGCAGAACCAGGAGCAGCAGCAGCACCAGCCACAGCACCCGAAGCAGCAGCAGCAGCAACAGCAGCAGCAGCAGCAACAGCAGCAGGGATTTGTAATACCGCTACTCTTTCTTCACACTGTTTTTTTTCTACGTCTGCTTCTGCAGCAATAAGCGGGGCGTAGGTGCGCTGATAAGAAACCCCGTCCTCGTATATTACGCTGCACCAAGGCAGAGGCTCGCCCCCTACACACAAGCATAATATATATATAGAATAAATATAAATATAAATATAAATATAAATATATGAATGCAAATATATAAATGTAAAGCATAAACACAGATATATACATAGGCATATATATATATATATATATATATATATGTGTGTGTGTGTGCATGTGTATTTACATGTATATTTACAATTGTCTGTCGACTAGATAAAAATATATACATGCATAAATATATATATTTGTATGCATCTAGAGAAAAATACGTATTCATATATATATATATATATATATATATATAAAGATGCATCTATCCATTCATATACAGGTGCAATATCTTTTTACTAACAATATAAAAAATAAATATAATATAGACACAGGCGATATAGCCAGATAACGTAGAAAAAAGCAAAAAATAAATCAAAGACAAAAGGCATCTGCTGCTACTCTCAGGTGTACGTACACCGCGTGCTGCGCAGCGAGTTTAAATGAAACAACAAAAAGATAATAACAGCAATAAATAATAATAATAATAATAGTGATAATAGTAATAATAATCATAATAATCATAATCATAATAATGAGTAGAAACGTAATATTATTGTTTGTGGGTTTGGGGTGTCTATGCAGCTGAATTTTTAGTGTTTTGTTTGTTGGGTTACCCTCTATGCCCAATTCAGCAGAAATGGCATTATCGCCCGCCATCCACTTGCGCTCCATTTCTTCTATTTCTTCGCGACTGACTGGCAGTGCTCGCGCTCGCTCAGCATTCGTCAAAGGCTGCATTCACGCAAACCCTAAACCCTAAACCCTAAACCTCTTGTTCTCTCCAAGTAACGCAGAGAGAGAAGGAGAAAGAGAGGGAAAGAGTCAGACACACTGAGTTAAACCCTCAGTGATAAGCACAAGCAGTTATCGCAACTCTTATTCAAACCCTAAACCCTAAACCCTAAACCCTAAACCCTACCCTAGCGAGCCACGAAGCCAATGCCTTGTTGTCAATGAGGGGCTGCCACTCCGTCGGATTCCACCCATTCTCCTCCAATACCCCGCTTGCATAACACCGGTCTCTGCACATATAAACAATAAACCCTAAACCCTAAACCCTAAACCCTTAACACCCAACCCCAAACCGCCAGCCCCTCAACCCACACCTCCCCCCCAAACCCTAAACCCTAAACCCTAAACACTAAAATCTAGCCCCTAAATTCTGAACCGTGAAGGTATAGGGATTTCGGTTGCAGCATTAGGGTTTGAACCCTAAGCCCCAATCCCTAAACCCTAAACCCTAAACCCTAATTTGGGGTACCTGCAGACAATGACGACGACATTCTGCGCCTCTGAGATGAGCATCCCGAGTTGCAGGACATTTTTAACTCCGCAAATAAAACATTCGAGCTTTGTATCTCCTGCGGTGTACGTACACCTCAACGCCTCTAAACCCTAAACCCTAAACCCTAAACCCTAACGAAATACTAAACCGCTGGGGTTTAGGGTTTCATCAAGATGACTTCTCTATGTTTTCTGCATATACCATTAGGGTTTATTAGGGTTTGTGAGGGTTGATGCGTGTTTTAATTAGAGTTTATTAAGGTTTGACAGGGTTTTGGTTAGGGTTTATTAGGGTTTTAGCTAGGGTTTAGGAGGGTTTATTAGGGTTTGATTGGGGTGTATGCGCACCTAAAGGCCCCAAAGGATGACAACTAACTTCTCTATGTTTACTGCGAATAACATGTTGCAGCACATGGCTAGGAGCCCCCGATTTTCGGGTTTTACCGACAGCAGAATTACAAAAAAAGCGAGAGCAGACATCACATCGCATTAATACTTCAGCTCCCGATACACCGCAGTAGCTGCAAACAAACAAAGCAGAAAAAAACTTGTGCTCAGTCTGTTATTTGTCATATTCATCCATGCAAACAAATCCAATACGTAATTTCTCTGTTATCAACAAATAGTCATTCACCCTATAAATAAATAAATAAATAAAAATATATATATGTACATATATATATACATATATATATACATATATATATATATATGTATATATATATATATACATTATGCATATTCTTAAGGGAATCAATATACATATATATGCGTATATACTGATAGAGCGTATATACTGATAGGGCATATATATATATATATATTCATTAGTGCATTACATATATATATATATATATATATATATATATATATGTCTAATTCAGCTGCAGGTGAAGAAGCTGTCTATACACCCCAAACAGCACAGGCCTTGCAGAGCAAAGAACAAAAACAAATAAGCACACAAATAAACAAACAAACAAAAGAATGCATAAATCAACAAATAAAACAAATAAAACAAATGCACGTTGCTTATTAATAAACAACAACGGCACACAAACCGCCAAGCCCTAAACCCTAAACCCTAAACCCTAAACAATGAGTTGATGCTGGTTGTATGAGTCGCACCTGCAGCAAGCATCGTCTGCAGCGGTCAAGTCTTCTGCATCTGCTGCAGCTTCTTCAGCTTCTTGCTGCTGCTGCTGCTGCTGCTTTTGCTGTTGCTGCTGCAGCCGCTTTCGCTCCTGCTGCTGCTGCATCGAGGCTCGAGCCTCCTGCAGCTGTCGGTTTTGTTCCTCTAGAGAAGGAAATGCTTCTCCATCTGCAAACGAACCCCGATGCTGCTGCTGCTCCTGCTGCTGCTCCTGCAGCAGCAGCTGCTGTTGCAGTTGCTGCTCCTGCTGCAGCTGCGCCTGCTGCTGCACCTGGTGCTTCTGCTGCTGTGGGTTTTGATCATTCTGCTGATCCTCATCCCTGTCCGCCATGCTGCTGCTGCTGCTACAACTACTATTGGCACTGCTGCTGCTGCTGCTGCTGCTACAGTTGCTGCTACTGCTACTGTTGGTGCCTTGGTGGGCCTCCGCTGCATCTTCTCTCTTCGAGTCTGAGTCCTTTGTGGCTGTTTCATCGTCCGCTGCTGCTGCTGCAGGTGCTGATGCTGCTGGTGCTGCAGGTGTTGCTGCTGCAGCAGCTGCAGCAGCAGCTGCTGTTGCTGCTGCTGCGGCTGGCGCGGGTCGGCCGCCGCCCCCCATGGCCGTTGTGAAGCAGCGAAGAGGGAGCAGCAGATCTTCTTCTCCTAGGTGTGCTAAATTTGATGAATGAATTAGCTGCTGCAGGCAACAGCAGCAGCAGTAGTAATAGTAGCAGCAGCAGCAGCAGAAGACACTGCTGCTCCTAGCTGCATCGGCGCAGAGGCGCACAGCAGTAGAAATAAAGAAGAGAAGATGAAGAGAATGAATCAAAGAGAAGCCAAAGAAGAAGTGTGTTGATCTCTTGCTGACCGCCTTGTTGCAGCCGCAGCAAAAAGCTGCTGCTGCTGCTGCTGCTGCTGCTGCTGCAGCATTGAGTTGCAAGTTCTGTTGCATGCACAGCCCCGTCGACACTTAATTATTGTTTGTTTGCTTTCTGCTACTCTTCTCTTGTATTTATACATTTAATTCAATTAATATTCTGTCGCTCTCTTACAGTTTTTCTTCTACTTCCTCAACACGCGCAGCAGCAGCCCCCGCCGCTGTAGCAGGTTGGTTCATTATATCTTTGTTTTTGTTTGTTTTATTGTTTTATTAATTAAATTTATTTAATTTTGCATGAAATATATCCTGGGGCTTTTAATAAAGGCTTTATTTCCACACAGGCTGCTGAATTTGGGGTGTATGTACACCTCGGGTCTTCCTGAAATTCTTTTTTGCAACTTTCTCTCCCGCGGCTGTCATTCTTGAAAATAAATTCTTTTGTGCGTTTTAATGGGCTAATAATGCAATAAATCGTGATTTCTTTATTTTTCCTTCGTATTTCTTCGTAGGAAACGAGCGGTTGGGGTCTACGTACACTTGAAAACTGAAAAAGATGATAATCTGCATTGGCCCATTTTGTGTGCCTCTTTGGCATTTAGGGGTCCTTCTTTTGATGTTTTTGCGTCCTTTGTTTCTTTTCTTTCGTTCTTTCTTCATAAGAAAAGAAGAAGAAGCAGAGGAAGATGCAGCAATAGAGAAGAATACAACAGAAACCCAAGCAGCAGCAGCAAACGATGCCAATATCAGAAAAAGACAGACAGCAAGCAAACAAGTAATCTCTTTTCTTCTTCTCTTTCTTTTTCTTCTCTTTTTCTTCCTTCCCCTATGTTTCTTCTTCTCTTCAATTCATAGAACAACAAAACCAACAGAGGATGTTCTTCTTTCTCTTTTTGTTTCTTCTCCCTTTTGCGTTTCTCTCAGCAAGGGGTTATACCCGCTAAGACAGCAGAAGAAATACAAAAGCTGAAAGAAGAAGCGGAGGCCGCAGCCCTTCCTCTCATCATCGACTTCAACGCCACTTGGTGCGCCCCTTGCAGACGCATTAAACCCCTCTTCCAGGTCAGCAAACACCCAGTGGCGAGCAGCACAGCAACGAACTCCTTTAGAGCTAGCTAGCTAGCTAGCTAGCTAGATTGGTGGCTAGCTATCTAGCTGGCTTGGTAGCTAGCTAGCTAGCTAGCCAGCTAGCCAGCTACCTAGCTAGCTAGATGCCATGTACATATATCGCAGCTACCTGTATTCCTATGCAGCTAGCTAGCTAGTAAGCTGGCTAGGTAGCTAGCTGCTACTCGCTTAGCTAGCTGCCTGTTTAGCTAGCTAGCTAGCCAGCTAGCAATTCGCTGCAGAGGTAGCCTTGATAGCTAGCGTGTAGCAGCTGGCTAGCTAGGTTGTTTAAAGCTGTTTGTTTGCTCGTTTGTTTGTTTGTCTGATTTGTTTTGCTGCAGCGTTTAGCTGAAGAGTACAAGGGGGTGTTTGTCTCTGTTGATGTCGATGAGGCTGCAGATGCAGCAGATCTACCAGGGGCTTTGCCTACATTTCGGGTGTATAGGGGGGCGAAGATAGTAGAAGATGTTCGTCTCTTTTGTTTTTACTTTTTTTATATTTTTATTTCATTAAAAATACAGTCAAAGATAATGCAGAAAGAAATATATATTTCTCCTTTATTAAGGATATTTCTTTTATATATTTTTTTCTCTTATTAAAGATATTTCTTTTTAATATATTTATATTTTATTAAAGATATTTCTTTTTAATATATTACTACTCTAAAGAGGGGGCCGTCTCGTTGACTGTGTATCGTTTCTGCCGTTTGTTTTGTTTCATTCGCTCTGTTTTTTATTTTGTTTGCTTGCAGTTTGTTTTGTTGATTTTGTTTGGGATTAGGCTTTTGCTGTCTTTTTTCTTTTCCATCGAATTGTTTAATTGTTTAGTTGTTTAATTGTTTTGTTTATTTTCATCGTAGTTATACTGCACATTTAGACGTATGTATTTCATATAAATATAAATATATATATACATATATATATATATATATATATATTTGTACATATATATATATATATATATGTACATATATAGGTGCATATATATATATATATATTTACATATATTTACTTCTATATATATTATATATATTATTAATGCTTATTATTTTATATTATTTGTTTTTTCTGTTTGTTTTTTTGCTGCAGTTGACTGGGGCCTATCCGTCGAAGTTGGAGGACCTCGTCCGTAGACACTGCGCACAGAACTGAAGGAAATAAATATATTTAATTAAATTAAATTATATTTATTTTGATATATATTATATATGCTTAAAGACAAGATAAATGTCTCTGTTGGGGTTTATTAAGCCGCAGAGACAAGCATACACCTCACATTCAGACCAATTGAAAACAAAGTGTATACACGCATATAATATATATAGTATATATATTATATATATTATATTATGTATATTATATCTATAATATTTATATATATATTCATTTAGATCGTTTATATGTAATTTGTTCGTGTATATGAATTGTTTAGATATGCACGTATGTACAAATTTTTAGATAGGCATGCATTATATATAATATATACAATATATATATTATATATATGCAGATTTTTCATTTAGAAATTGCTTACATTGTTGATGTAGAATATAGATTGTTCACATATATATATGCCGTTATATGCACATATATATATATGCTTATATGTATATATATGTATATCTTCATAATATGTATACATATATATAATATTTATACATAATATTTATACAATATCAGCTTGGTTGGCTATCGAAATTGTGCGAGTAAATAACTGAAAGGAGGAAAAAATTAAACTGCGACTTTGATATCCACGTGTATCTCCAACTGAAGAAACAGCAATATATATATATATATATATATATATATATATATATATATATATAT